TTTTTTCCAACTTTTTTTTTTTTTTAGTATTCTGCCAGTTGCAGTTGTCAGAATAAAAAAAAAAAGGCATAAGAATGCATAGCCAGATTCCTATTGGCTATTTCACTTTGCAATAGCCAAAAGCAAACTAGCTAGTGCACCCACCCGCTGCTGCTTTCAATCACCAGAAGAGGAGCTGATAGAAAAATTCAGGTCCCCCTCTGCTGATTGACAGCAGCAGTGGGCGGGTGCATTAGCTTGTTTGCTATTGGCTATTGCAAAGTGCATTAGCCAATAGGAATCTAGCTATGCAATTGTATGCCTCTTTTTTCTTTTCTGACTGACGGTAAGGCCGCGGCTCCCGATGTCAGAAAAGAAAAAAAAAACGATCGCAGGGAAAGGTTTAATCTGCTCGATTGTTTCTCTCCCGGCTGGGATGTGTACTCACTGGCCCAAGCAGCTTCATCGGGTAACGAAGGGAAGGGGGAGGAGTCCAGTTAGGTCACGGACATCGACGTCAACGGACTCCTCCCCCTTCCCTTCATTAGTCAACAGCCACTTGGGGAAGGGGGGAGGAGTCCGGTGACGTCGATGTCCGTGACGTCACCGGATCTCCGACGGAACACCCGGAAGCTGGCGGAGAGGTGAGTACGGATCAAAAGAACTTTGATCGACCAAAATAATTTTGATCGATTAAAATAATTTTGATAGATCAAAAAAATTAACGATTAATCGAGGGATTAATACAGCTGGGTGGATCCAGACATAATTGTCGGGATCCGCTTCAGCTGCGGTGTCTCACTATACCGAGAGCAGCAGCTCCCTATATACTGAGCTTAGGGTGACGGGAGGATGCTAGTTTGTGTCCTCCCGTTACCCTAAGGAGAACTATGGGGAAAATCCCTAACCCCATAGTTCTCCTTTAATCACTGATAACACCAAACTGATAAACAGTAAAAGCGTTTTCATCGTCGCCTATGGGCGTTTTTTTTTTCAATTTTGCGGGTGCACGCAATTTTAAGGCTTGACATATTTGGTGTCTATTTACCCGACGTGACCCCGACTTTTATGTTTTACTAAAAATACGGGTAAGAATAAATGTTTTATAACATAACGTAGGGAAACTTTTTTGCTTTTTTTCTACATTTATGGTACTTTTTTATTATATAGTAAAAAAAAAAATACCACCCCCCCTTCCCCCCAGGTGATTATATACCTCCAAAAGAAAGCTCTATCAGTCCCCAAACTTTTTTAACATAAATTGCAAGGCTATAGTCCGGTCATGCTGACTGGTGAAATTTTTGACTGACCTATATTACCAAAAGTATTGGGATGCCTGCCTTTACATGCACATGAACTCTAATGGCATCTAAGTCTTAGTCGGTAGGGTTCAATATTGAGTTGGCCCACTCTTTGCCGCTATAGCAGCTTCAATTTTTCTAGGAAGGCTACCCACAAGGTTTAGGAGTGTGTCTATGGGAATTTAATGACCATTCTCCTAGAAGCGCATTAGTGAGGTCAGGTAGTAATGTTGGACGAGAAGGCCTGGCTCGCAGTCTCCGCTCTAATTCATACCAAAGGTGTTCTATCGGGTTGAGGTCAGGACTCTGTGCAGGCCAGTCAAGTTCCCCCACACTAAACTCGCTCATCCATGTCTTTATGGACCATGCTTTGAGCACTTGTGTGCAGTCATGTTGGAACAGGACAGGGCCATCCCCAAACTGTTCCCACAAAGTTGGGAGCATGAAATTGTCCAAAATGCCTTGGTATGCTGATGCCTTAAGAGTTCCCTTCACTGGAGCTAAGGGGCCAAGCCCAACCCCTGAAAAACAACCCCACACCATAATCCCACCTCCACCAAACTTTACACTTGGCACAATGCAGTCGGGCAAGTACCGTTCTCCTGGCAACCACCAAACCCAGACACGTCCATTCGATTGCCAGAGAAGCGTGATTCGTTACTCCAGAGAACACGTCTCCACTTCTCTATAGTCCAGTGGCGGCGTGCTTTACACCACTGCATCCAACGTTTTGCATTGCACTTGGTGATGTAAGGCCTGGATGCAGCTGCTCGGCCATTGAAACCGATTGCATGAAGCTCTCTACGCACTGTTGTTGTGCCAATCTGAAGGCCACACGAAGTTTGGAGGTCTGTAGCTATTGACTCTGCAGACAGTTGGTGACTTCTGTGCACTGTGCGCTTCAGCATGCACTGACCCCGCTCTGTCATTTTACGTTGCCTACCACTTCGTGGCTGAGTTGCTGCTGTTCCCAGTTGCATCCACTTTGTTATAATACCACTAACAGTTGACCGCAGAATATTTAGTAGCAAGGAAATTTCACGGAACACCTTTTTCCACCTCATTGCTTCACATAGATGCATAGATATTTCTACATATATGCTTATAGGTTATCAACCATATCGGTTGATGTGTAATTGTTACACACTATAGTGGTATTATTTTATCTGATATACGAAAGTGAGGTATTGTGAGTCTATTAGCTCATGACACACTTTCTCTAAAGTATTTCTTTTGACGTTCACTTTGAATTTCCCTCCTCTTCTTTCCCATATTTCCTTGTATCTACAAACATGGGCTAAAGGTACATTTTCCGGGATGGGCCGGTGAAACATCCTGAAGCAGTCTGTTCTTCGTAGACTCCTCTATCACTTACAGACCTTGCCTATCAATATTCCGTCACCATTCTTCCATTTGGTAAAATCTTTTTTTACTAAGTTCGTTTGGGAAGACAAACCAGCTGGACAGGATGGAGTCATGGCCCTAGCCGACATTTGTCTTTATTTTATAGTGGCCCATTTAGCACCAATCCTTGACTGGTGCAGGCATCAAACCACAAAACTTTGGATTCCCATGGAACAGTCGTTTTCTGCAGCACCATTTTGGGGACTCCCCTGTTGTTCTTCCTTACTACCACAAGCTGTACTGACTCATCCGACTATCATGCACACTCTGGAGGTGGCCAAGTCCGTTTTTGCCCAGTAGATTTTGTCGACTTATCCTCCGTTACCTCTGCTCCCCATTTTGGGTAACCATGCCTTCTCCTCAGACCTTCAAGAGAGTATATTTACCTCCCTACACCTCTCAGGTAAATACCGGGCTGCCCATTTCCTCACTGGCTCAAACTGGCCTTCTTTCTGTGATATTTGCAATAATATGTGTGTTTTAATTATTTTTTTTTTTTTACTGTTGGGGGTGGGTGGGGGGCTTCGGGGGAAATATCAGGGGTCTAAGCAGACCCCTTACATTTCCTTTTTGAAAATGAAAAAGAAATTGGAGCACAGATGCCTCTTTTTCTGCAGCCTTTTCTGGAGAGCACTCAGTACAGAGGCTTCCCATTCATTCAGTAACTGGTGATACTTGTGATAGTGAAATATTTACTATCATCCAGTTATGAATGGGTTGAATCCTCTAGAAACTCATGAATGAACAGGAAGTGCTGTAAAGCATTCATAACTGGGGACACATAGTACTTTGTGTCCCCAGTTGTTTACAAACATTGGAGTGATCACCTGATCACTCCATTGTTTGCTCTGCACACAGAGGATTGGTAAATATTACAATACATATTTACCTAGCCTCGCTTCGGCCACACACAGACGCTGTCATCCTGAAACTGACAGGATGACAGCATCTCTGCCCTTCTCCCCGAGCGCTGAAGCCGGCGGGGGGGTTGGTGGAGGAGGGAGCGCTCTGGCTGTTACTTCAGGATGGCAGAGCGGTGAGGAGAGAGAGAGCCGCCGGCTGTCAGATCCTGTCTGCCATTTTGGATGACAGCTCCCCCCTCCACGACCCCCCCCCACCCCCCGAGGCTGAGCTGTGTTGCCTCTTAGTAAAAAATACTAAGAGTCTGGTTATGAGATTGTATCCACATGGTACAGGATACCTCAGACTTTGCACTCTTTGTTCCCTCAGTCCTCTGATCAGTGTTGGAGGTGTGCCAGTCCTGGTGCAAACATGTTGCATATGTTTACTTTGGACTCTTGTCCTGCACTTCAACATTTTCGGGATCAAGTACACTCCTTAACCACCTTCCGTCCATGGCCGTTTGTGAACGTTGTCTGCTAGGAGCGGGAGGGCGTCTTAAGACGTCCTGCCCCTCCCCCCTCTCGTGTGCGGCACTCAGCGCGCACGCGAGAGGGAAAACTGTGAGCATGTAAACAGCCAGCGATGGCTTTTTACATACAAGCGATCAGGCGTCTTTAGAGACGCCCGATCGCTTGCAGGAGCTGCGGGTGTGCGGCCTCCCCCCGTACCTATGTCCCGCCGTCTCCTCGTCGCCGCTGCCGGTCCGTGATCCGAAGTGGCCGGTGCGGCTGGGACCGGCACGGCGACGCTCTAACAACAAATCAAAGGGAGATCATTACTCGATTTCCCTTTGATCTCTCTTGCTGGAGTGGGGGTGTCAGTATGTTAGCTGCAGTGCAGTGCGTTTTTGACGCGTTTTCGGACCGCACAAAATGTGTCATGCAGTATTTTTTCTGTCGTAACCTGAGCGGACTGCGCACGTGAGAACTGTAGCCCATAAAACACATAGGGATACATTGGGATGCAATTTTAGTGCAGGAGCGTACGGATCAGGTCAGCACAGAAAACGGACGTCGTGTGAACAGGCCCTTAGCAATAACAATCTAAGCGTTATGGAGGAGAAAAGAAAGTTGGGAAAGGGCAACAAAGTTGCTACTTTGCCTGGGGCCCCATTCCATTTCAATCATTGTCTGTGTTAATGGAGAGAAAGTCAGATGCAAGTATAAAGGCCGTGACACACTACACGCGAAGCAGCGCAGAGCGGTGGCGCGCTGCCTTTGCGAGCAGTGTGTCATGTCACTTTCTTCTCGGCACCTCAGCTTGCTAGAGCTCGCAGAGCTGAGCGTGCCGAGATGAACAATTTCAACTTCAGCCAATCGGCTCGCGCGTATAAACCGGCGCGATGGGATGCAACGTCTGGCCGGTTGTTACAGACGAGCCGATTGGCTGAAGGTGCAGTCAATCATCTGACTGCACTCAGCTCACACACTGCACGCGAAGCTCCGTGCCGGAGAGCTTTGCTTCGCTCTGCACGGCTTTGCATGCAGTGTGTCACGGCCTTAACAGCTTCCCAACTGTAATCTGTAGATAAACATCCTCAGCACCATGTCCTACACTGAGGTAACATTTATCTACAGTATGTTCCACTTTTAACAGCTAGGATCATACACAGAAACTGGCTACTAGCGCGGTCAGACTGTGGTGTCTCTGACAGCTTCGCTTTCAACTAACAATAAGGAACCAATCAGCGTTGTTCCTAATCATGTTATCAATATGCCACCCATGACATAATGGTTACATGCAAGCTGTCGGGTTTGTTTGCAAACAAATGTACCAGCTTGCAAAGGCCACACCGGTCTGAAGAAAGCAGTATGTCCGTGTTTAATACTGTTATACTCCGATACAATTAAAGTATTATATAGAAAACTACATTTTCACGCATACTAACCCTGCTGAATTTTGTCTGGGTATCTATTCATCAATTACCTCTGATCATAGAAGGGTTAAGGTACACATGTCTGTGGAATAATAAACTGTCTACGTGCCTTGAATGCAAAAACGTAACTGGTGCTCTGATATACAAATGCCAACATTTCCTAGCTGTCCCTTCCATATCTATATTGAACTGGCCCTTCCATATCTATATTGGCCCATTCCTTTTGAACGGCAGCCTTTGAGGCCAAGAGAAAGGCGGGAGTCTAGTTCACTAAGCAGCTAGGAAGGCTTTGAACAAGTACCCTAGTTTTCCAAACAATAGCACCCCAGTATAGTAACAAAAATAAGACCTAAACCAAATAAAACAGAATATGACAATAACACCTACGTGAATGAAATGGACTTGATGGGTCAGAATCAAACACGCTGCAGACATCAGTGGTACTGGATGCTGCAGATGGTGGTGGTGGTGGCGTTAAGGGTGTTCTAGGCGAGTTCGGGGCAGATGCTGCTGTTTCCGTTTCACTCTCTGGGATGCGACTGTAGCTGATTTTCCTTGGTTCCTGCTGCAAAGGGGTAGGGTGTCTCATTGTTCCTGGCCTTGTGTTTGAAGGACGCACACCAGGAGACTTAAGTGGATAAGTGTACTTTTTTTGCTGATGAAAAAAAAAGAGTGAACAAGGTATAATATTTTGCAAAACAATCAATTTTGCACAAACTTTAGCAATGGTTTCTGTTTATAGTTTAAAAATACATCTTCTGTCAATGTTTCCTGTAAAGCTGGCCATACACTGGTTGAATATCAGCCAAATCAGTAATCAATAATACATAAATCAATAATGGCCACATCAGTTGTGAGCATAAATATCAGTTTGAACTTCTAAGCAGTGTAAACAACAGTTTTTTTTTTGTCAGTCATTAACCTGACATACATTAGGGCTGCTAGTTGATTAATTTCGAAAATAAGAATTGTTGTCAACTATTCTCATTATCGATTAGTTGATCTGGACCTCCTAGTTCTTTACCCTGCACTGGGAGCCGGTGTTTCATTGGCTCTGTATCCCCTCCGATCACAGCTGCTCCCAGCAGTGATCAAAGGGGACACAGACCACTGCACCCAGTGCCCAGCAGTGAGGAGAGTTCCCCCAAACCCCCCCCCCCCCCCCAATTCTCATTATCGATTAGTTGATCTGGACCTCCTAGTTCTTTACCCTGCACTGGGAGCCGGTGTTTCATTGGCTCTGTATCCCCTCCGATCACAGCTGCTCCCAGCAGTGATCAAAGGGGACACAGACCACTGCACCCAGTGCCCAGCAGTGAGGAGAGTTCCCCCAAATCCCCCCCCCCCCCCCAGCTATTGGCTATTTCAAATTGCAGTAGCCAATAGCAGGCTGGCTATTGCTCCCGCCCACTGCCTGTCAATCCACGGAGAACTTTCTCCTTCAGGTCCCTCCTCTGCTGTGGGACAGCAAGCAGTGGGCGGGTGCAATATCCAGCCTGCTATTGCAATTGGAAATGTTTGTAACACTCCATTTCTGTATTTTATTTTAAATTAGGGATGGTATATAATTTTTTTGGGGAAAAAAATTTATCAATTATGAAAATATTCGTTAGTTGCAGCACTAACATACATATAAAACAACCTTATAGCTTATTTTAATAGCTTATTTTACAGCATTATATAGGTTAAATATAGGTTTATAAAATGTGCTACCATGTAAAATAGTAAGTACACCTCAAGGAAATTGTTGACTTTAAACATATTTGAACAGACATAAAAGGGGGTTATTCACTATTGAGCCGAAGCATACAGCTTCGGCTGATCTTTCGGCCGACAGAGCCCTTCGGTTCAGGCAGCCGAAGGTGGGCGAGCAGCTCAGCCGAGCGGAAGGCATATGCTTTGGCTCCACTGAGCCGAAGTGACAGCTGGGCGGAGCCAGCCGTGATCTCACGCTAGCTCCGCCCAGTTGTAATGACAGATCAGCATCTCCAAATGACCTGTGGACGCTGATCTGTCATTAAACAATAAAAACTGGGCGGAGCCGGCCGTGACGTCATGGCCGGCTCCCTCCAGTTGTTATTCATTGGCCAGAACCTGCTAGAGTCTTCTAGAGCCGGCCAATAGGAAACAGCTAGCTCGATCCCAATTGTTTTGTTTTTTTAATAATTTTTTCTTCTTTAAAATAAAAAATTATTTTCCTATTTTTGATCATTTTCAAAATAATTTCTCAATCTTTTTTTTTACACTCTTTTCACTTTTTTCTATTCTGCTCGGTACCATGGTGGTACCGAGCAGCATAGTTGAGCCGAATGCTGCTCGACGGCATTCGGCTATTCACTCACTGCCATTCGGCCCCTATGAGAATAGGGGCGAACGGCAGCGAGTGAGCTGCTGGAGCTTCGGCTCAGCCGATCCAGATTTTGGATCGGCTGAGTCGAAGTCCCTCTGCACTTCGGCTGCTGACTGAAGGCAGTCGTACAGAGCCGAATGTTGGGCTCACTTCCTTCAGCTGGGTTATTTACGCGGCTGCCTTTGGCAGCTTTGTGAAAAAACCCTCTAGATCTTCATTTAAACAGTGCCTACAGAACAAGGTGATCAGCAAAATGTGTCAACAAAATAACACATTAAACATTGACATTGTGTATTCATTACCACAATCTAAGCGTATGAAAATGCAGAAACGGGTGTTCCATATTAGGTGCCAATGATTACAACCTGTGGAGTATGCAGCTGGAACTGGTCTTTTTTAAACCTCAGATATCTAGAGCCTCGGGCCTCTTTGCTTTTGACATGTGTGATATCATAACGCCAAGGCCCTCAGGCCCTCTCTCAAAGGCCCTCAGAAACGAAGCCAATGAGCCTGGCAAAGGGATTCAAAAAGATTGCCAAATTAATAGAATTAAGTATTTCACGGAAAGAAAAATAAACTAGTGGTGCAGATTTCAAACAAATGCCAATTTGTTCAGGACTGGCCAGTGCAGCAAAATTTGCCTAAAAGCTAAATGTTTGATGCCAAAATAAGTCTTCAAGAACCCAAAATTTAATTGTGGGATCTGCAAGTAACATTTGCAACAGTTTGTGTGAAAGTGCACGTATCTACAATCAGGAAGAGGTTGCACCAATTTAACCTGCATGTGATGCATGCAAGAAAAAAACCTTTGTTGTCTAAAAAGAACATTACAAAAGATGCATTGAACATATATACATGTACCAGGAGGGTTATACACTTACCTAACAAAGGATCTAGCCGTAGCTTCGGCTCATCCTTCGGCTGCCAGAACCCTTCAGTTCAGCTGAACCAAAGGGCTGCTTCACAATAGCTCGTACAGCAGCTGAAGGCAGCCGAGCCGAACGCATATGCTTCGGCTTGGCTGAGCAGTAGTCACAGCCAAAGCAGGGAGAAAGGTCTGCCGAAGCCGGCCATTCTCCCTGCAAATGACAACAGCTGCCGGAGCCTGCCGTGATGTCACAGCTGGCTCCGCCCAGTTTTTGTCCTTCAATGACAGACCAGCATCCTCAAGTTATTTGAGGACAATGGGCTGTCATTAAATTAAAACAATTTATTTTGCCGAATCGTTGACATTGTGATTGACCCTGGATTACATAGTTGGATCAATTTGTTTGTTTGTTTTTTTAATAAAGGAAATGTCAAAAATCAGTTTTGTTTTTATTTCAATGAAAGGATTTTTAAAATGAAAGTCTGGTCTCTTTATTTACACTTTATTTAACCCTTTAGTGCAGGCCTCAAAAGTTCCACTCGCCCCCTCGCAATTGGCGAGTGAAAATTGCGTGGGGGCGAGTGGAATTGTTATGGAATCAAGTAAAATGACCATTTGTCTTACTAGGTGTGTAGCTATCCTCTTACTATTTATTCCTTGCTCAAAATGGCCGTTAGCTGCACCCCCTCCCATCGTGTGAAGAACAAGAAACTAAGATGGCGCCTCCTTTCGGGACACCCAAGATGACAATGTTTGGATCCTGAAGGAAGTTTACCTTATATGGACATGACCAATCAGAAGCTACGCTCACATGACCTTTGCACACAGCACTAGCTGCTTACCTATAAAAACCTTTGTGCCTTAGCGTAATAAACAGGAGCATCATAGACCTGATCCTTGTGTCTGTGTGATTCTTACGGTGCACCGTATACAACAAATTAGGACGGGAGCAGATACTCATCAGACGGTTGATCCGAGTCCATTTTAGAATGTCATCGAGGGGGTTCGCTGCCGGCAGGACCAGGGATGGGACACTACTGCCGCGGCAATTGCGCACTTCTGTTCCCTCTTCTCCTGCTTGGCCGCTGCAACTACAGAGCGGCCGAGGAGGAGAGAGAACAGAAGCGAGCGATCGCCACAGCGGTAGTGTCCAGACTCAGTGGCAGATGCAGGAGTACATCCCCGCACAGCGGCCGGGACATACAGCTGTCACTGAGTTAACTGCGATTCAGTGCAAAAAACTGGCACACTACAAGTACTATGCCGGTTTTTTACACTGAACAGCAGTAAACTCGGCAGCCTGTACCTCCACCCACCTCTGCTGCAATTGGCTGGGAGGGAGCGGAGGGAGTCCCCCCGACCCCCCCCCCCCCCCCCCGTTCTGCAGCTCTCTCCTCCCTGCTGCGAACCCACTGCATGCTGGTGTTTGTGTCCCCTCCGATCTCCGCTGCCTGTATTGGCAGAGGCGGCGGAGATCGGAGGAGGCACAGACCGCTGAAGCCATAACCCAGCGGAGAGGGGAGACTGGCTGTCAGCCAATGTCGCTGTGACTTTGCCACCTCTGCAATAGCCAACCTGCTATTGGCTATTTCAAATTGCAGTAGCCAATAGCAGGCTGGCTATTGCTCCCGCCCACTGCCTGTCAATCCACGGAGAACTTTCTCCTTCAGGTCCCTCCTCTGCTGTGGGACAGCAAGCAGTGGGCGGGTGCAATATCCAGCCTGCTATTGCAATTGGAAATGTTTGTAACACTCCATTTCTGTATTTTATTTTAAATTAGGGATGGTATATAATTTTTTTGGGGAAAAAAATTTATCAATTATGAAAATATTCGTTAGTTGCAGCACTAACATACATATAAAACAACCTTATAGCTTATTTTAATAGCTTATTTTACAGCATTATATAGGTTAAATATAGGTTTATAAAATGTGCTACCATGTAAAATAGTAAGTACACCTCAAGGAAATTGTTGACTTTAAACATATTTGAACAGACATAAAAGGGGGTTATTCACTATTGAGCCGAAGCATACAGCTTCGGCTGATCTTTCGGCCGACAGAGCCCTTCGGTTCAGGCAGCCGAAGGTGGGCGAGCAGCTCAGCCGAGCGGAAGGCATATGCTTTGGCTCCACTGAGCCGAAGTGACAGCTGGGCGGAGCCAGCCGTGATCTCACGCTAGCTCCGCCCAGTTGTAATGACAGATCAGCATCTCCAAATGACCTGTGGACGCTGATCTGTCATTAAACAATAAAAACTGGGCGGAGCCGGCCGTGACGTCATGGCCGGCTCCCTCCAGTTGTTATTCATTGGCCAGAACCTGCTAGAGTCTTCTAGAGCCGGCCAATAGGAAACAGCTAGCTCGATCCCAATTGTTTTGTTTTTTTAATAATTTTTTCTTCTTTAAAATAAAAAATTATTTTCCTATTTTTGATCAT